TAGTCCTGATATTTACTATTCATTGATAATAATCTCCATGGCTAGTAAATTCAGTATCACATGGATTTCATAATATCAACTTCAACTATTTCTGTCTTCATCATATTTTCTTTAAGTGCATTTTCCTTTCTCCATTTATTTTATTTTTTTGTGTCGTTCTTATTCCCGTAAAGATACATTACCATCTGGATCTCACATTATATTTCTTGATAAAGTTTCTTGTCCAGTAAACTAAAATTTATGACGCAGATAGTAATAAATATCACTTTACTAAACCAAGCTGCAGTTACAGTTCAGATTCATGTGAAATATAACATTTGCAGTGTTTTCGTAATATTTAAACTGCAGAAAATATTTAGTTAACTTTTATTGTTAAGTATTGAGTACATATATCAACCCCACAACTCCTATGTATAACCGATTTTTTTCTTTTCGTTTTTGTTTTCTTTTTTTTTTTGCTCAGAATGTATAAATTTATCCTCAACCGTAATATATAACAGCCATGCGATTTCTCACATTCGTCCCATGAACCTGAAACTCGTTCTTCATCTTATTTCTTGTACATTTTCTTCATGTAACCGACCTGGAAGTTGAAGCGACACATTTAGAACACTTCTAGACAACCTGAAAAGTCATGGTATCTATAATATCTACGTTCTTGTTCTATGTTTCAGAACCGTTCATCCAATGTTAAGGCTGCTGCGGATTAAGAGTATCAAGTGTATATGAAGTTCGAGGCAGAATCCACTTTTACGTCTTAGATTTATGGTCCCTCTTGAGAGAGAGAGAGAGAGAGAGAGAGAGAGAGAGAGAGAGAGAGAGAGAGAGAGAGAGAGAGAGAGAGAGAGAGAGAGAGAGAGAGAGAAGAGAGAGAAAGAGAGAGAAGAGAGAGAGAGAGAGAGAGAGAGAGAGAGAGAGAGAGAGAGAGAGAGAGAGAGAGAGAGAAAGAGAGAGAGAGAGAGAGAGAGAGAGATGAACAGGGAAAGGATGGATGGAAAGCTATCCCAAATGAGCGTTAACCTTCACTTCGGAACAAACAAATAAAGGCGAGATTCCCTTTGCACTTCAACGGACATTCTCACGCGAGGCAAATGAGGAACGAAAGAGGAATGAATATATGGAAACGGAACTTGACATATTCTGTAAACAGTAGTAAATTTGGGGAAGTTTGCTTTTCATCTTTTTAGTAATTTCATGCCCGGTTCTTCCGCCATTAATCAAAGCCTTGAAGGTACGAAGACTAAAATCTCAAACAAGGTAAACAGAAGTGAAAAGTTGCTTTCATCTCCCGCATATCATTAAAATATTATATATATATATATTTTTTTTTTCTTTAACGGATACGAAATACTTTTAATCCATTTTATAAATCGGATTACTCGAAAGACCTTACATAAAAAAAGCATATATACATATAAAATTAGAAAGAATCGACATGCTTACCATCTAACAAGAGTAGATCCCAATTTTAATGATACAAAAGAACTTTCCATTTCTGTTCTCTTTCTTGTACCTTCCAGACTAATAACCGCGAGTGAAAGTATGGCAAATGGCGTATCTATAGCGAGCGGGTTTATGCACTGAACAAAAGGAGAATTACGAGCCACTGTTCCAGAATAATCCTTAGACGCCGACATCCGTTGTTTCTCTCCTCCTCCCTCTCTCTTCCTACCCTTTTTTCCTTCTTGCTGCGTGTGCCAAGGCTTTATTTTCGCTTTATTTTCGTGCTGGCTTTTGTGAAGCGCAAATACTCGCGGTTTGCTGTGACGCTTTAGTTGGATAAAAGGGGTTTGTTAAAAATTATTGTTATTGGTACTGTCGTTAATGGTGTTGCTTATACCATGATTATCATCATTACTTTCATTGCTATCATTATCATTATCATTATAATCTTTAGAGTGATTGATAGATAGACAAAAAAATGTTATTTGGATATTAGTACTATCGTTAATGGTGTTACAAATATCATGATTATCTTTATTACTTTTACTACTATCATTCTCATTTTATTATAATCTTTAGATTGAATGATAGATAGACAGACAGACAAAAAGATATCAATTTTCTGTCACATTTAGTTATTAGTACTTGGCGTTGCTAATACCATGATTATCTTCATTTTCTTTAATAATATCATTATCACTATTATTCTGATTTTTAGACTGACTGAAAGACAGATAGACAAAAGGATATTCATTTTGTAACACATTTTGTCTACTACAAAATTTCAACACGAATCTCCTGACGACAAACGTATCAAAATAGACCACTCGATGTTTGTTTCCGCCGGTCTCTCATTCCATTCAGATCTGCCCTGTCCCTCGTTAATCGTGGTATCAGAGTGAATCCCAGTGGAATATACCAGTAACAAGCTATTTAATGCATAACACGACCTGAATCTATGAATCTACAAGGGATAAACAGATATCTGGGAAAATGATAGACGCAAGTGCTATTAAAGTCTCCATCAAGAAATGGAATATCCCACGAGTTCTAACTGCCTGCCTAGTGTTGCTTTATGCCTCCATTCTCCATAATTGTTCCTCTCAGACTCAAAATGCAATTTTTGTAATGGGATCAGTTTAGTGTCCAATACCATAATGCAGACGTTCAGTTCAATAAACACACGAACCTAATTTGCCAACATAATAAGAGAGAAAGAGAGAGAGAGAGAGAGACAGACACAGAGAGAGAGAGAGAGAGAGAGAGAGAGAGAGAGAGAGAGAGAGAGAGAGAGAGAGAGAGAGAGAGAGAGAGAGAGAGAGAGGAGAGAGCAAGCGAGCGAGAAAGAGAGAGAGAGAGAGAGAGAGAGAGAGAGAGAGAGAGAGAGAGAGAGAGAGAGAGAGAGAGTGAGAGTGAGAGAGAGCGAGAGAGAGAGAGAGAGAGAGAGAGAGAGAGAGAGAGAGAGAGAGCGAGCGAGCGAGCGAGAGAGAGAGAGAGAGAGAGTGAGTGAGAGAGAGCGAGAGAGAGAGAGAGAGAGAGAGAGAGAGAGAGAGAGAGAGAGAGAGAGAGAGAGAGAGAGAGAGAGAGAGAGAGAGAGTGAGTGAGAGAGAGAGAGATATATATATATATATATATATATATATATATATATATATATATATACATACACACAGATTTATATATACATGTATATACACAAATATGTATGTATGAATGCATTTCTGACATTCGTTTACGGTAATATTTACACACACACATGTATATGTATGCTTGTGTGTATATGCTTCATTTAATGCTTTATTCAGTACCATAAAATGCATTAGATAACTGTGAAACGTTCAGATTGCACTAACACGAATTAGAGATGACCTTTGAAATAAGATTACCTAGACTGAGAATGCAACAAAAGTGAAATGAAAAAATAATCCCCTGGAGGAACTGCAACAGCATCATTGTGTCGTTATCCTCATCTGCATTAATACTGCTGTGCATAGTATTACCATAATTATCATTACCTTGACTGTTATTTATGCCGCACTCAGCATGCCTAGGACGGAACGTTTTCTTAGTTGTCTTACAGTCTAGGTTGTGTGAATTAATATTGCGTATCAAAGCAAGGGTGGGTGTACATCAAAATAGATAAACAGATAAATAAGAAGATAGATCAATGAAATTACAATGTATGCATATAGACACACATTTCTATTTATAATGTATGAAGATTTCAATATTTTGTAAATGAGGAAATTTTTTTTTCAATGTGTTCAAATTTGAAAGCTACGCTGACAGGTGCACAAGAAACAATATTCCTCCAGTAATTTGTTTATTGAAGCCAGGATAAACCAATAGAATTCCTGAAATTGTGAACTCACGAACAAGGACACGAATCTCCCGATCACGGTACGAAAATCTGGCAAAAACTGAGGAAGACAGATCCACGCATCGAAACAACAGTACAGCCTTGTTACGTGTATGTCTAATACCCCTTGGTAGTTTGAAGGGTTCTGCTTGGTATGCTGAATATGGGATACACGAATGGAATATCCACATTTGCCAAATCGGGAACTGGAAGAGGAATCTCTTGTTCTGCAAACGAAAGTGTGGGGAGCTGAGGAAGGCGAATCCCTGCATTGAAGCCGTAATTCAATCTTGCCGGAGCTAAAAAGTCGTACACATTAGGCCCTCCATATTCGGCACTGTTGCATAAAGTCACAGTAGTAAAGAAGCTAACAATAAAAAAGATCTTCATGGTGTCTGCCACGTGAGAACAACTGATTACTTTTCTCATGGCATGAGGTCTACATATACCAGGGCTTAGGAACGAGGCTTTCATGCCCATGTCCCCTAAGTCGTTGTTTGCGAGAACTGTTGGAAGCATAACGGATTATCACAAAATGTTTATTGCATGCATTTCTTGTTGGCAAAAAAAAAACTATATTGGAATTATATTTGTGAAAGATTTTCCTCAACGTTACTTATGTTCATAATAATATTCAATATTCGCATTCGGGATAATCTTGCTTGATCTAGTTCCGCATTGATATTGACGTGAAAATAATTTATCACACACATATATGTATATATATGTACATATATATATATATATATATATATATATATATATATATATATATTCATTTATACACACGCATTTATATATATATGTACATATATATATGTATTAATTTACACACACACACACACACACACACACACACACACACACACACATATATATATATGTGTGTGTGTGTGTATTCATTTACACACACATTTATATATATACACACACACACACACACACACACACATATATATATATATATATATATATATATATATATATATATATGTATATGTATATATATATATATATATATATATATGTATATATATGTATATATATATATATATATATATATATATATATATATATATATATATATATATGTATATATATATGTATATATATATGCGCGAGCGCATGCGTGTAGATGGATAGGTAAGCTTTTTACATTAAGGCTGCCCGCACACGAGCAACTTTCCGTTGTCGCCACCACCCAGCCTGCTGCTGCCTTGCCCCTTCAGATTTCAGTGGTGAGAGGAAGTGGTAGCTATCATGTCTGTAATAAAAGATGTATTTGACTGCGAAACACTCATAACAGAGGTAGAGAAGAGACCACCTCTTTATGATTTCCAGCTGAAGGAATACAGCGATAAGAATATAAAAGAGAAGTTGTGGCGTGAGGTGTGTGAGGCTGTGGTGAGCGATTGGAATATTCTCTCCCCTGAGGATAAAAAAGAAAAAGGTAAGAAACATATTGTATTTGAAAGGAAAATATCTATCAGGTGGTTCACTTTTATAGCGGTGACCTTTTATATTTTGTTATACTGCCATGAAACTGCTCCTTAGGGACTAGTAAAGTATGATGCAAAGTGATCTCGTACTGTTTTTCCTCTCATGTTACATCTGGTGCCAACACGATCAATGTCATTCATTGGACATTCATGCAATGTTTCTTCAAAGTTGACACCCTCATGTTTTTTTTTTTACGTAGTTGTGTAAAATGCAGCATGCCTTAACTATGACATCACAAAACTCAGGTTTAACATCCAGAGTTCTATGGAAAATTCTCCATGTGTTTTCCATGATACCAAACGTGCATTCAACTGAACGCCTTGCTCGTGACAAACGATAGTTGAAAACACGTTGTTGACCTGTCAGATTTTTGTTTGGATATGGCCGTAGAACATTCTCAGTCAAAGCAAATGCCTCATCACTGACAATGACGTATGGCATGCAAATTCTACTGTTGTCATTTGGTAGTGGGCATGGGTTTGGAAGCTTCAGTTCCCCAGAATCTAATTTTTTACAGAAGTCAGATTTTTTAAACACATTTGAATCACTGGATTTTCCAGCAGCTCCAACATCAATAGCTGTAAATGAACACCCACTGTCAACTAACGCCATGAGTACAATTGAGAAAAACTGCTTGTAATTATAGAAACTAGAACCACAATTATCTGGATTCTTGATGCGGACGTGTTTCCCATCAAGAGCACCAATGCAGTTTGGGAATTGTGTGTTAGCATAGAAATCCTTTGCGACTTGGAGCCAGTCACTTCCACTTTTCTCAGGCATGTAGATGTTCTGCAGGCTTTTCCAGAGTGCTTCACATGTTTCGTAGACAATTTGACGAATTGTTGATTCACCAAGCCGGTACTCAAAGTGAAGCGAAACGAAGCTGTTCCCCGTTGCTAGGTATCTGCAAAAAAAAGTTATTAATTTCATAAATTTCAGGAAACCAGCTACAGCGAAGATGGAAAAATCTCCGTGAATGCTTCAGGAGGGCGTTAAAGGATCAAAAAGGCAGGTCAGGAGATGGTGCCGCTAAGAAAAGGAAGTATGTTTACTTTGATCAGCTCCTATTCCTTGCACCAACTTTTAACGAGCGAGAAACCACAGGTAACTACTCAGCACCGGAGGGTAATGATAAGGAGGAAGAACGTGAACAAGGCGACACACCAAGTAATTCTGCAAACGTGAATAACGCACAAAGACCACATAAACCACGAAAAATCCAAGGAGCTTCCAACAACAGATATGAAGAAGAACTACTTGAAATATTAAGAGGAAAGACTAAAGAAAATTGTGATGAGGATACAGCCTTTGTAATGTCACTAATTCCGAAATTTAAAAAGTTCAATGATGAGCAAAGATTTGAAGCACAGATAGAAATAATGAAAGTGATGAGAAGAGTACAGATGATGACACAGATTCCATCTACTGCTTATCATGGCAATATGCCCTCTACAAGCACTTGTCAACCGTACGTTGCTGTACCAGGTATGTCTCTGAACACCCAAAGATATCTGCCTACAAGTGGTATGCATCACATGCATCAGCACCAGATACGTGAAGGTCACCACTCAACTCAAGAATTTGTACATACTCCTGGATACCTTCACAACCAACCTTATCAACCTCAGCTACATCATTCACAAGAAAATCGCGAATTTCAACAGTCGGCATCAAATATCACCACCACAGCTTCGTCACCAGCATCAGAATATTCTTTGAACTCAGGTGACACCGACCTATTAGAACTGTCATAA